ATTAGTCATTCTAAACTTAACTCTGTTTAAATCTAAGTATTGTTTTCTTGTATGGCAAAATTAAAAATACGTGTCTAATATTCTTTCAGAATTAAGTAAAAACGCGGGTTACTCACGTGAATATACTGAGAAAAGCTCTACTAGTTTCGAACCACAGAGGGGTTCTTCCTCATAAGCAGCGTGCGCGGTCGCGGCGACGTCGCGCAGCTCACTTGTAGTGACGGTTCGAAACTAGTAGAGCTTTTCTCAGTATATTCACGTGAGTAACCCGCGTTTTTACTTAATTCTTTCAGAAGCTAATTGACGGACTAATTATATTTTTAATTTTCATACCCTGGCAACTACCCAATTATACGTCATTTCTATTCTTGTTGTTTATACATCGTGACATATATTTCGTTTTCGTCCCAAAGTAAGATGGTTCTGTCTCGGTAATACAATAGTTTTACAAACAAATAAAATGTTTAAAACAAACAATAACTGGTGAACAATTGCAAGCAAACTTCGAAAGCGCATACGAACTCATTACAGTACATTATCAAAACATCACGCCATGTAATTGTCGAAGAGGTATTTCTCGTCGGGTGGTACGTGCGATGCGAATAGTGCCTACAAATTTACGTCTGCCATATTTTTTTTTTAAACTATCAGAGATTACATTTGTTTATTTTTTATTTTTCCTTTATACACAGAAAGTACTCCTTATGGCAAGTTGTTTTGCCGCGGGACGAAAACGAAATAGATTTCACGGTGAAGATAAGAGATTATCGTTAAAAAAATTGACTTAGTCGAAAGAATAACATGTTAATGTGGGCAATGTATCGGAAATCCGATCCCTAACACACTGTACAACTAACTGTTAAGCAGTGGTTTGTACGGCCAAAGGTCAAAAGTCCACTGCCACCGTAAGACTACTATCGGTTATACCCACACACACGCGCATATTTGTATCCGTGTTTACGCGTGCGTGTGTTTATGCGTACGCACGAGTGTTTATGCACATTAATATGAAATTACTTAGGCATTGCCGTGTGAACATCACTCATGGTGGCAGTGGACTTTTGACCTTTAACTGTACATATAACAGTGTCGCCTGCAACTAAAATAAGTGTTTGACACAAAATTCTAAACCGGTACTAAAAGTACCACTGCAAATATCCTAAGTTCAACTTAGTAAAAACATTATATATATATAAAATAATACTAATCTTCGGTAACTTTCCAAATATTTGCCAAATATTTCTTTTATACAAACCTTGTACTTAAATAAAATTATGATAGTGGTTGCATGATGAGGATACCCGTCCAACATAGGGACCAATATTTGTTCCAACCGACCTTTCAACTGGGCATTCGGTAACACGGTCACAGGCAACCTAGATAATACAGTGTGTTAAAATAAACGAGGGACTTATTGAGGGAGGGTATTCATCATTCGATTCTCGTCCCGAATATGTAAAAAAACCTATAAAGTAATTTTAGAGGTAATTGTCCAATGAAATACATCATCATGAACACTGAGCGCGCAACAAGTGAACTTGTAAACAGAAACAGCATTTAAATAAAGTAAGTCACGTTGCAAAACACGCGCTGATCTTGCCGAAAAGGATAGAGCGCGCGTAAGCCCGCTAGTATTTATTAGTATTTTTGTTTCGCTTATACAAGGTGTTGTTTTAAAGCCGCGTCAGTTTCTACGAGGTAACTCGGCTATCGATTCTGAGTCCGAATCATTAAAAAAATTGTAGGTAAATATTTATAATTTTTCTGAAATTACGGAACACCGTCATTGCGAAGTACATGCCGCCGTCTAGTAACTAGCTGTATAACGCGGCTTAACACACACAAACTCAAACACGTAATTGATATTATTCCTAATTCCATAAAACTCCAATAAGAAACATTGCTGTCGCTTATTCTGAAATACTGTCGAACTTAAACGATTTATTGTAGCCGTATTTTAACTATTGGCCCGAAACTTTCTCTTACATTGAACCTTTATGACTTCTGTGACATGCCCCCGAGAAATGACACGGTTATAAACTACACCTTGGATGTCTGTTAGGTTCATGTGACCATATATTATTGTGGGTTTGAACATGTCCCTCGTTTAACCTAACATAATGTAGTACCTTTAAAATTTCCTATTTCTTTAGCACAATATACACTTAAATCCCAAGTGGCACTAAAAGTACCACTTAAGATTTTCTTAGCTGAATAAACAGCTTTTTGCTGTGTCCTGTATATTTTTACCTTCAGCTACATTATTCATATATTTCTTGTACCCTCCTGCTAATATACCCATGAGAATAATGGCACCTACTGACGCATTTGATTTGAACTTTGACGCACAATCTTCTGGATTCTCCATGTCTAGAGTGTATATCTGGAATGGAATAATAATTATATTAATACTAATAGATAGAGCCTATAGCTTCATTGGCCGAGTAGTCGTGCGACTGCCGGGCAAGGGGACTCGGATCAGATTCCCGGGTCGGGTAAAGCATTACTGGTTTTTTTTTTAATTCTCAGTAGTAGCACGGACCCTGGAATTGTTGCTGGTATATGGCTATAGGCTTACATGGGACTCAAAATATTAATAGTGAAAAGTGGGTGTTACATTGTACAGTGGCATTAAGTGCCATATTGTGCCGGGGATAAAAGGCATGATTCGACGTTGGTGACAAAGGGAATAAACTTTACGAAACTAAAAGTTAGCAAAAACCACACTAAAATCGGTTCAGTTGTTTTCAAGATAATCGCGTTCCTACAGACAGTCAGGCAGACAGACACGGCCAACGAGGCTGTCATCAATTGTCACCAGTACTCACCAGTATCCTAAATATTAAGGAAACTCTCATCTAAGACACACTGACGCTTAACAACGTTATGTTTTTTACCGACTTAGAAGTGACACCTAACTGTACAAGGGATTAATTTAGATTCACGCGAAATAACTCTTAGTTGCGGGAGTCATGCGCGGGCAGCCGGCACGAATGGGCCGGCTCGACCGGAGCGATACCACGGCCGACACAACGCTTGCGGTGTGCTTCGTCGTGTTAGTGAGGTTATCGGAGGTCCAATTACCCCCCCCCCCTATCCAGTCTCCCCATTCCCCGAATCCCCTACAATGCTCAAATTCCCAATTCCTAGAAGGTCGGTAACGTACTTGTAGTGCCTCTAGTGTTTCAGGCGTCCATGGGCGGCGCCGATTGCTTACCATCAGGTTTTCTGTCTGCTCGTTTACTGACTTATTCCATAAATTCGAATTGAAATTTGTTGAAGGCAAAGCCTACGTTAACGTCGGTTACCGAGGGGAAAATAACCAATGATTTCTCCCGCCCGGTTGAGGCGAGAGGGAGTTGACACTCCCTCTTTTTTTCATCGAATGACCGCTCCCGCCCGAGTGAGGCGGGAGGGAGTGTCAGACTCTTACTGACTAAACACCCCGTTCCTTCGCCTGCCCTTCGAGCCGGAGCCCCGGTAACCCGTTAAGGTCTCCGCGGCTCCGTATCTGCATCAGCCCTATTGGGCCCCATCTGTGGTGGTCTGATGGCTCTTTGAGCCGCACGCGGTACGCGACGCGCCGTACGCTCGGGTCTGGTTCTGGTCGGGCGGCGAGCTGTGGATTAACGTGTTAAGATATTAAACTGACCTGTCTAGCAGCATGAGCTACATAAGCTATTACAGCGAGTTGATACGGGAGGCCCAGCTCTGCAGCTTGTCCAGCTAAACTCAGTGATAGTGCGCTCACACCCAGACACAAGCTCAGCGCTGGCCGAGTGTTGGCGCCAAACGTTAGAGCAGTTGATTTCACACCAACTTTCATATCATCTTCTTTATCCTAGAACGGTTGAAGTTGAGTATTAATATTACGATTAAAAAAAAAACTAGGTTCTCAGTACCTGTATGTATGTATATATGATTGTGAGCAATTTTTTTTATTTAATTTTTTTTTAAATCGTTGCCCCACACTAGAATTTTCTCCTGTGTCGTGGGTGCGTTTACAGATATACAAGTTCACATACACAATGACACCCAGACTCGGAACAACAATTTGTGGATCACACAAAGTGCGGGAATCGAACCTGCGACACGTTGCACGGCAGTTTGCAATGCAGTCGATTTTATTCGATTTTAGTCGATTATTATCGAATTATCTCGCGATTGGCTGAACCAGTGTTGATAGGTAGTAGTAACCATTGGTTGTCTAGACCCGACTGAGTTACAAAAAATATGGCGTCGTTACAAAGCGATCAGTTTAGTTCAACAATACCTACTGTCTCTGTACTGAATCAATACTTTTTTACCTGCATACTAAATACCTTTGTTAATAGGGATTATGACAGGGAAAATGAAAATTCAAATCAGTCCGTTAGATACATAATGAAAACATATTAGACACGCAATTTTTATATCGTCATAAAAGAAAACAATACTTGTTTTTATAATAACTGTCGTGAGACATACTAAAGTAACCAAAAATGTTTCGAAACCCCTCTGTGGTTCGAAACTAGTCGAGCTTTTTTCAGTATATTCACGTGAGTAACCCGCGATTTTTAGTTAAAACAATACTTAGATAAAACGAATCAAAGTTTAGGAGTGGGGGCTAAAACGTCATTTCTATGTATAAAACGTACATAGAAGTGACGTCACGCGATATTTCAAATCAATATATCGTCGAAAGTATTTAATTTTGAGATAAAATAAAAAATACGTGTCTAATGTTTTTTTAATAATCTACCAGATGAAAATTAAAATTAATCATCTACCCTATTGTAATATAATAATTTAACGTCAAAGTCAAAGCATTTATTTCAATTGTTCCTTAACTACCAACCCGCCCGGCTTCGCACGGGTGCAATATGCATGTATTATACATATAAACCTTCCTTAAGAATCATTCTATCTATTAAAAACCGCATCAAAATCCGTTGCGTAGTTGTAAAGATCTAAGTATACATAGGGACAGACAGACGGCGGATAGCGACTTTGTTTTATACTATGTAGTGATTAGGCACTTTTGAAACGGCAAAAATTGTATCGTCCGTCCGTACGTCTATCAGCGGAGCTAGGTGCTCGTTCCAAAGCGTAGTTTCGAATGGAGAAGAACGAGCAAGAAACTCCATCGTTACTCTTTTAAAAAAATGTTGTTTACAGTCTCATTGATACATTATCTGATCCCTTACCTAATCTTATCTTATACTATAATATAAAGCAGAAGAGTTTGTTTTTTGTTTGTTTGTTTGAACGCGCTAATCTCCGTAACTACAAGTCTGATTTGAATAATTCTTTTTGTGTTGGATAGCGCATTTATCGAGGATGGCTATAGGCTATAAAACATCACGCTACGACCAATAGGAGCTGAGCAGAGCGTGTGAAACCGCGTGGAAGTAGCTAGTGTATATATATGTGAGAACGATGTAACGACAATACAACGTCAAAATTTAATAGGAAATAATATTCTTACCTGATGCGCATAAATAGTATCATACACCACAGTCCAAGCTAGCGCCCCTATATACAGGGGGCCACAGATTGCCAGGTTCAGGTCACCCTGTATAGCGCTGTAGCCTAATAGGGCGCCCCAGTTGAATGTGGCTCCCAGAAATATTTGAGGGTAGTTTGTATAGCGTTTTGCTAAAGGGTACGTTACTACTAGGACTGGAATATAAAAGAAAAAAATTGATTATTATCATCACGCCTTTTATGCCTGAAGGGGTAGGCAGAAGAGCACATTACGGTACAATGTAACAACCACTTTTCACTATTTATGTTACAAGTCCCATGTAATAGGGGGTGAGCCTATTGCCATATACCGGACACAATTCCAAACTCCGTGTTACTACTGAGAATATTTATGAAAATCCAGTAATATTTTGTGCGACCCGGGAATCGAACCCGAGCCAAGACCCCTTGCCCGGTAGCCGCACTTGCGACCACTAGGCCAACGAGACAGTCAGTAAAAACAATGGTATACTATAATAGTAACGAGTACGCGTTCGGTACTCTGATTGGCCGACGCCAATGAGCCAACCAATCAGAGCGCCGAACGCGTGCTCATTTCGAATTTTAAACGTCAAAAGTCCTCTGAAAGGCTATTAAGTTGTACTTGAATATAGTGCCATCTCTATCGTTCTACAAAGAACTTGTAGTGACAGAACTATACTCACATGCGTCTTAAACTGTCAAACACCAAGCGGTCACCGGTGACCGCAACCTATTGTTCTATAATTGTGTCTATAATGACGGTACTCGACGAGTTAATATTGCGAAGCGTTTGAATATTTGGGCATTCAATTGTTAAAGTGTGGGAGAGCCATGCTTCGGCACGAATGGGCCGGCTCGACCGGAGTGATACCACGGCCGAGTAGAAAACCATAGTGAAAGTTATCGGAGGCCCAATTACACCCCTCCCCAATATAGGCCGGTCTTTTGAAGATTATGAATTTGAGGATTATTCGGAGTTGGGGAGGGAAGAAATTGGTCTCCGGTAACGAACAGTTGTTTCACTATGGTTTCCTGCTCGGTCATGGCATCACTTCGGTCGGAGCGGCCCATTCGTGCCGAAGCATGGCTCTCCTACACTTAAAATATTTATGATATAGACATATCTCGGAATTTTAATTCGATTCCAGATTTGTCAATTTCAGTATGGCACCGACTTCTTACCTATCAGTGGGTGGGTAATCTATCAGTACTAATCATAGTTATTTTTTGCTTTTTAGTTTTGACTTTTTGTTTGTTATTAGTTTTTGGTTTTTTTGAAGTCGGTTTTTTAAACGCAGTTTTTATTTTGACGATTAATTAACGATCTGAGACTTTTCTTTTATAATTGTATGTGAAATAAATAAAAAAATGTAATCATGAAGGAACATGACAAATAAAACACATAGATGTATTATGGTAATAAGTTATTTTATAAATTGTCGCCGTCGTCACTATCGCTATCCTGTCACTTTCTGTAACATTTATTATAAAACACACACATTGATTGTTTATCGATTTTTGTGTTCATCACTACACTATTATATGTGGTATCATTATTTCACAAAATGACAGTAGCTATTGTCAAATCTGGAATCTAATTAAAATTCTGACTATAGTTATGAATAGTGTATGATGATTCTTTTAATAATAATAATTAAAGATACTCACGCATACTGCTAGCTCCGAGCACGATGCTGTAACAATTCAACTGCAGTAACACAGCGAGTGCTAGACTAAGTTGTGCCGCTAGGAACACCACCGCTTGTGTCTCAGACACCGCGCCCGTCACTAGGGGACGGGACTTCGTCCTTTCTACCTGGAAATATAAGATTATCATCACCATAATAACTATCGTGAGACATACTAAATTAACTAAAAACGCGGGTTACTCACGTGAATATACTGAGAAAAGCTCTACTAGTTTCGAACCACAGTGAGCTGCGCGACGTCGCCGTGACCGCGCACGCTGCTCATGAGGAAGAATCCCTCTGTGGTTCGAAACTAGTAGAGCTTTTCTCAGTATATTCACGTGAGTAACCCGCGTTTTTTACTTAATTATCATCACCATCAACAGCGTATAATACTTCGTTGCGGGAACCAAGACAGTTACTCATGTCCCTGGGACGTTGGAGTTCAGTGTTCCGGTGTTTTTATGGTCGTATCTACTGTAGATGTTGGGTTACGGGAGTTGCAGCGGTTTTGGAAGGTTATGGCGGGTTGGCTCTTTTAAAAAATCTATCTTACTTATTATTATAGGACGAAGAAACGAGACGTCCATGCTGGCGCCGTCTGGTGGATGGAGGTGAGGTAGGCTCCATTGTATAATGGTATTGTGCAGGCTGGTGTTGAAGATAAGGGCTGTGGACACGAGCCTTCATGCCCCGCCTCAGCATTAAGCTGAGCTCTGGCCTTTTGCGCTGCGACGCACCATGAACTGCCTTTTTATGGGTTCTTACATTGTTGTCTGTGCCATGACACGCCACGACACGCCACCGTGGCGTAATAAACGGTTATTTTTTCTTTCTTTCTTACTATAAATCCCCATACGGAGAAGGTTTGAGCATATAGATATAAAAAATTTATACTATCTATCAAATCTATACTAATGTTATAAAGCTGAAGAGTTTGTTGTTTTGTTTGTTTGTTTGAACGCGCTAATCTCCGAAACTACTGATTCCAATTGAATAATTCTTTTTGTGTTGAATAGTCCATTTATCGAGGAAGGCTATAGGCTATAAAACATCTCGCTACGACCAATAGGAGCCGAGCAGAGCGGGTGGAACAAACAACAAAAAAGGTAGTTTAGTATATAGCCCATTTTAAGATAATAAGTCTTACCTTGGCATCAACATCCCTGTCCCACATATCATTAATAGTGCACCCGGCGCCCCTCATCAGTCCAGCGCCCACCAGGAACAGTCCGGCCGTCTGTAATGACGTCTGTAGAGGGACCGTCCCGGGAACCGAAGCCATTGCTATTGACCACGCACAGGGCCAATAGAGTAGGTATATTCCTAACAAACATGTAACAAATTAGGAATCACTAATTATTTAGGCTTTCCGAGACCAGACAGCATGAAACAACGCTTGCATTATGTTTCGTCGTGTGAGTGAGGTTACAAGAGGCCCAATAACAACCTTCTCCCCCCCCCCCCTCTCCAATCCCTGAATTCCCAACAATCCTCAAATTTCGAATTCCGAAATGGCCAGTAACGCACTTGTAACACCTCTGGTGTTTCGTGTGTCCATGGGTGGCGCCGATTGCTTACCATCAGGTGATCCGTCAGCTCGTTTACCGGCTTATCCCATGCAGAATAAAAAAAATACAGATATAACGCCTTTTATCCCCGAAGGGATAGGCAGAGGTGCACATTTTGCCATTGTACAATGTAACACCCACTTTTCACTATTTATGTTATGAGTCCCATGTAATAGGGGGTGAGCCTATTGCCATATACCGGGCACAATTCCAGACTCCGTGCTATTACTGAGAATTTAAAAAAAAACCCAATATAATACTTTGCTCGACCCGAGAATAGAACCCGAGACCCCTTGCCCGGCAGTCGACCTTCCTACCACACGACCAACGAGGCAGCAAAAAAACTTACCTATAGGTTTATCCCATCTTGCTAATTTCAAATATGGGTCAATATTCTCCTTCCAGAACCCCGAACCAACTTCTATATGTCTATGGTTGGGTAAAACCTTTTCTTCCAACTTTTCATAGACAATCTTCGGTGATGTCGTCTCTATGACAACTTTTTGTCTATGTTGATCACTTTGCGTTGAATGTACTCGAGTAATTTCATATTTATGTGGTATATTTTTTAAATATACTTGTCCGCAGAGACAGGAATATGTCCGTGGAACGCTGAGTTTCCGTTTTGCATTCAACAATATTGTTCGTTGTATTAATGTTTGTAATTGCGTTATTTTGTACATTTTTATACTATTGTTTAACATTTTTTGGTATTTGGTTGGTGCTCACAGCCCTGGTTTCTGAAAAAATAGAGAAAATGGAAGATTAATCTATATATATAAAAGAAAGTCGTGTTAGTTACACCACTTATAATTCAAGACCGGCAGAATAGATTTGGCTGAAAATTGGTAGGGAGGTAGCTTAGAGCCAGGAGACCGACATAGGATACTTTTTAACCAATACTTTTTTTACTTTTTACCGAAAATCACGGACGGGGACGGGAAATAATGGGATTACGCGTACGAAGTCGCGGGCAGAAGCTAGTTAGACATAAATTGTGTGATCCACAAATTGTTGTTTCGGGTCTGGGTGTCATGATTATGTGAACTTGTATGTTTGTAAACGCACCCACGACACAGGAGATAATCCTAGTGCGGGGCAACGTTTTAAAAAAAGAAAAATAAAAAATATTTTTTATAAAAAATTTTGTAATAACATAATCTATATAATTAACTTTTCTTATATTACTTAGGCTAGGCACTGGCACAAAATGTTGTGGTAACCCACCCACAGGTTAAGAGTAAGACACCCGATTCTCATGTATGAGGGCGCGGGATCGAAACCTACCAACACCAAGTACCAATGTGACTTTTTCTGAGTTATATTTCCTAAGATTATTTAGACACGACTGACAAATGGTAAAGGCTAATTTGAACTCAGTTTGAAACAGCCAACCCGCTTTGAGCATGTGTAGTGATTATTTAAATATATTTTGACGTGACAACGTCTTAAATTAGGTTGCGGCTGGGAGTCACTTATGAAAAAGTGTAACGCTCGGTAACGTTACGATGAGTCACCGAACGAGAGAGAGGCCCGCCGAATGCCTTGCGTCTCTCTCCCACTCAACTATGATCGGTCTGCCGCGCGCGCAGCACTAGTTCATTCAATTCCTTGTTCCTATTGTGCAATTTAATTATATTCATATCAATAAATATTCTACCGAGAAAAAGACGTTGTCACGTAAAATCTTCGCCCGTAAAAACGACTTTACAGGCAACCATTTTTTTATTTATATTATTATCATCAGAACAATTGTGCTTTTGTGTCTAACGCATACATAATGTAATAGGGGGCACGCATCATTATAATTTCAAAACTGGAACTTGTTGTATGGCACCGAGGTTGAACTTGAAACATTATGTTTAGCATTGCAAATAAAAATTCTAAAGAATGTATGGGAATTGTATTACCAACCAATAACATTTTCCCCACAGCGAATTGAGAGTAACCCCCATAACTAGGGTTGCCACCTGTACTTTATAATAAAGTATTGTACGTTATTTAAGGTAATTGTACTCTATACTTTATAAGAATAATAAAGTACACGAAAATACTTTATTTCTGCAAACATCATTTCTATTTAAGTCGTAAGCATTTTTCGGTAAACTTATTGATTCGATATCGATATTTATCGATTTATGTTGAATCGATTCCGCCACTCGTTAGCGCCACATAGACGATTTCTAGTAAAGATGCAATTGTTTAGTATTTCAATGCAATTGTTTAGTAAACATACTACTTTAATACAAACTGCAAAAAGCAATATAAAATATATTTTTAAACAAGAATAAATTGTACTTTATTTTTGTACTGTGTACTTTCTTTTTCTTACCTATAATCGCTAATGTACTTTTAATACCAAAAAAAAGGTGGCAACTCTACCCATAACCCGTCGCGAAGGACACTCCGGGCGTCGTGGATCGCGGGACGAACTCCAGCCACCGTAACCGCGGGCCTGCGGACGGCGAACATGGGTGGCTCATCGCCCGACCAAAATAAGGCTGATGACGATACGGAGCTGCGGAGAACTTAACGGGCTACCGGGGCTCCGGCTCGAAGTGCAGGAGAAGGAACGGGGTGGTTTTTAGTCAGTAAGAGTCTGACACTCCCTCCCGCCTCACCTAGGCGGGAGAAGTCGTTCGAGAATTTTACCCCCTTAAAACAACCCATAATAAATGATGTCATGAGAAGAGCTATCTAACGACATACATCTAGTCGTTTTTGGTTGGTAAGTACATTTGGCCCGTCCACTCTTTGCTATTAATATAGGAAACCAAAAATTAGGTTTAAGTGTAAAAATTGTGGGAATAGAAGTTACTAGCTTCTGTCCTGCGACTTCACCCACAGTCTCGGTGGATAAAAAGTACCCTATGTCTTATTTTAGACTGTAATACCGCTGTTCCTCTAGATCCATTAAGCCATTTTGACGTGATTGAGTATTAAACATACAAACTTTCACAATTACAATATTAAGCACCTAACTAGTAAAATAAAATCCTACTAAAAGAACAAGGAGATTGTGATATAGTGATGTCTGATAGGGGAGAATGGAAAATGACATATTGTGCCAACCACAAGTAACTTGGAATTAAGTCGGGTAGATTAATACAGGCACTGAATATTCAGAAAATTTATACCTATAAATTGCGGTATGACATCATACTGATAAATAAAGTACTGTTTTATTTCCGTATTATAAATTTTCAGAATCATTATTTTTAGGAGACTTTTGTCCAGCAGTGGACGTCTTTTGGCTGTTGATGATAATGATGATTATTTTTGGGTATCAAAATGTGGAAACCGGTATATTTCAGTACTGGTACATTAATGATAAAGGTAGAAAAGAGATATTGATGATGTTATTTTATCTATCCTATTTATCTTTCTTTACAGGCTGACAGACGTGTACTTGCTGTTGTTTCGCACACACAGAAATAATATGTAAAATTAAAAACAGTTGATATATTCGCAGCACACTCCTCACACATTTCACTTTACGTTCCGCAATGGACAAATTTAAGTTTTCAGTATAAATATTGCACAAAGGTTAAATAACGGTAATGATACTTATTAGATACCCATACCGCGACGTTACACTTTGATCACTTTCATCACCTGGATTAATATGAGTTTAGCGTTAACACAAAAACATTCATAATGTAAGGTGGTGGCACAGTATTCAGAAATTATATGTTTTCTGAATGAGGAAATTATATCAAAATAATATTTGAAACATTTTATAGTTTAACTACATTTAAATATAGTTGACTAAGGACAATCACTTCTTGAATTATGTCCCTTGTACAATATTCCAAAGAATACACAATGTTATCATAAATTTTAATAACAATATAGAGCAAAGCAAGAAACAATTCAATGCCTATTATAAAACCAGATAACAAAATAATACCCAAAACCACAAAAACTCACCACTATAACCTTAATTATTATTACAGAACGACAAATGAGTCGCAATTTAAAGTAATTCGACACTTATTATACAAAATTATGAACTTGAACGAATCATATTGTTTTTTCAAAGGTTAATGTCAATTTCAAGGACTTTTACACAATTGTACACGGTTTTATGTAAGGGTACACTTGGGATAGACTTTGTACTGTTATAAGAAGATGTTTTCATGAAAATAATTAGTTAAATTAGTTACATAAAATTAAAATTCCGACATAGCTAATCAAAAGCAATGTGCCGTCAGTGCCCGTCGTGCCGCTCGTGACATTCATTGACAGTTGATTGATAATGGTTGACAATGACAGTGTTACTTTTGTTTAGAAAGTCGAATACCGTGATAATATTTATCTAATGTAGGCATCAATATTTACAACTTAATATAACTATAACTAAACTATAAAATAAAATGAAAGTAAAAAAAAGGAAACAACAAAAATTATATCTTCAATTTAGGCGTCAAAGTATTCGTCCGCATCACTATCATAGGGGAACGTTCCCAGAAGACTGGCAGCATTGCTACGTTGAATGGCAATGCTTATTTTCTGTCCGAAGAAATAGCCAGCCCTCTGGTCACGTGTAGAGTAGATTAGCCTACGGGCGATATCTTTAAAAACAGAGTGTGCACTGGGACCCCATGGCCCAAGTGTTTCGACCCCTAACGGCTCAAAACAGTAGTTACCCACTAGATTTGAATATTTACGCCGTTTGAGGGCCTCTGCCGCGGAAGCGGCCGTAACAACGCATGCAGCGGTACTTAAAAGATGTGATAGCGCAAGGGTGTCTACACACGTCGCGTCCCACACCAAAGGCCAACCCATTTTCCAAGGCAGCAACGACATACCATCTGGTCTTTTGCCGTCATCACGTACCAAACCATTAGGTTCTAATACGGCTGGTACACCGGCTGAAGCAAGAGCACGACGAATCATATCGTTGATGCTGGCATGGCGAGCTATGCGGCCTGCACTTCTGCAACAAGAAATAAATATTTGTTTAAAACATTCAACATCTTTAAGCAAATATTTATAATAAACTAAATTTGTTTCGTATTCACTAGACGAGACTATACTATCATAATTAGATTCATGATATAAAAATGCCAAGTACATAGTATGTATAATTTTATTAAATTACCAAATATTTTAAAGGGGAAAACCAAGGGCTATCTCTTTTGTTTAGACAATGTTGACTTCAAACTAGAATTTCAGAACGAATTACTGAATGTCGAATTGTCAATACCTAATTTGAGTAAGAAAAAATTGTTGATAAAATAGATTTATTTATTTTACCCACCTTGCAGATTTTAAAAATATTTGTTTTTTCACTATGTATTTAGTAACACGTTGTTCGTAGTTGAAACGGTTTAAGATGTACTGCTTACTTTTTTCCCTAATAGGTTATCATTTAGTGTTGACAATATAATTTTAAGGTAAGTAAAAGAAATTGGTTGCTTTTTTTTGCATCTACCGGCAGATAAAAAATAACGTGTTGTAATAGTGCAATCCCGATAATTCAGAAATCCATTAAGTACATTTCTATAAAAAATAAATGTAAGTCTCCTAGTTTCTTAAATAGCCTTTAAAATATGTTATTATGCCTAATTTTATACACATTTGCAAACAATCACTTAGTTACTATAGCAATTAGGTCAATCTTTACACATTTTTCTTTATAGTAGGGGAGCCCATGATGCTAAATTGGGATTTACTTGAGCGTCCTTGGGACCTACTGGATTTTGAAGATATGCTGATAGAAAGAAGAAATGGTTTAGTGACAATTTCTTCCACCAGTGGGGGAAGGGGGAATCTACAGATCTTTGAAATTGTTAAGCGTAACTTTTGTTCTAGTGGTCGAGCGTGTCAGATATTGATAATGTACATGCTCCATGTGTATTTAATAATAAAAAACTCTTAATCTGCCAGTTTGCATGGTGGGGTTGAATGTTCTGGAGAGTACAAACGAGAACCCTTCAAAATCCCCCCACTCTTGCAAATCAAGTTGGAATGGGCAGATTTTTTAAACGCACTTCCTTTAGCACGGTATTGACCTACCTTCCCTTAATCTGACGAAACTGACTTTATTTAGTCAGACTTTTTTTTTAATTTTCAGTCCCCCCCTTCTAATCAGATCGGATATATGTTGGGTATATTAAACATGCTATTCGGATTATTAATAGTGTACCGGAGCATGATTTGTTCCACAACCTACCAAGGTTTATTGAAGCAGTGCAAAGGCATATTGAATATCACCGTATTGAGTAATTGGGTCTGTATGGTTATACTGCTTAGTCTCGGGTATACCCATCACGCAAAATGCAGTTGAAAGCTGGAATAACCGTTGGAATAGTCTACTTAACAGAAGGAAAATAAATATATATAAATATATTTATTTTCCTTCTGTTAAGTAGACTCTCTTTTACAAGTTCTCTCATTGTTTTATAACAATGAGAGAACTTGTAAAAGAGCAGAAAAATACTGAGTATGAAATAGAGAGGTTAGCTGGTCTGATGGAAAAAAAAGAAAAAAGAAAAATGCTTTACTACAAAAGACTCCAAGAGCATATCAATAAGAAAGATGATATGGATATGTTAACATATTTAGATGGTCTTGCATATATATGCTACATTAAGAAATAAAACAATTTTTCCCCTACGAATTATTTGATTCATTCATATTTTTATAGCAATCAATTTAACATAATTATTAAAACTTTTATTATCTACTGTCTATTTTTTTGTTTATTTTCCTTGTATATTTTTTTTTGGTTTATATTTTTTTAGGCCCATTCAAAACATATTTTTGTTCTGATAATTGATAATATAATAAATAAATAAAATAAATCTAGATAGCTAATATGACAAGCTTAACGAAAGACGAGCAGGGATGTCAAAGTGTATTAGTTTCTCAGTAACGATGTTTCGTAGATTGTCGAAGCCAAGTTGCTCCATAGTTTTTCGCGATAACGTGCATCGAAGTTAAGTAGTATCGCAGTGAAAATCTTTCGCGGTAACGTGCATCGAACTCAAGTAGTATCGCAGCGAAGATCTATCGCGGTAACGTGCATCGAAGTGTAGTATCTTCGCAGAGACGGTCTTTCGCCGTAACGTGCTTCGCAATTTTGTAGCATCGTATTAGCATTTATCGATATTTTGTGCGTCGACATTCCGTATTCTACTCTTTTTTTTATTTATGAGGGAGGAAATCATCTAATGACTCTTCCCATCATGGGTGAGGCGAGGTAGTGTCAGACTCTTGCTGACTAAATACCATGCCATTCCTACACCTACTTTTGGGGGCAGAAATATGGCAACCTATTAAGTCCTATGCGGCTCCATATCGGGCATCAGACCTACTGAGCACCATCTGTTGTGGATCTACATCCATTAAATTATTTATTTATGTTTTATTTCAGGTACTGCTAACCTAGAAGAGTTGTAGCATTTAGACCAAAATGAGGGAGACTAGGAAGAAACCCAGTGCACCTGCTACACCTAAGATAAAACCCAAACAAACTGAGTTTTCTTGTCCAGAATGTAAGAAGGTAAGCAGAAATTTCTTTTTCCTTCTCTAATAATATCTTCGGATTTATTTCGTTGCGGAATTGCTCATGTCCCAGAGACGTTAGACTTCAGTGTTCCGGAAGTTTCATGGTTGTATCTACTGTAGATCCTGGTTTTCAGGTGTTTTAATGGTTGTATCTACTGTAGATCCTGGTTTTCAGGTGTTGTAATGGTTGTATCTGCTGTAGGTAGATCCTGGTGTTCAGGTGTTTTAATGGTTGTATATACTGTAGATCCTGGTGTAGTTTTAATGTTTTAGGAGGTTGTGGGGGACCTGTATCATAAAAAAAGTAACATTATTGTTATTAGTGTCTTTGCCGCCTTTATTTTTGAATATATACACGGAGTCTGGAATTGTGCCCGGTATATGGCAATAGGCTCACGCCCTATTACATGGGACTCATAACATAAATAGTGGAAAGTGGGTGTTACATTGTACAGTGCCATTAAGTGCCGTAATGTGCACCTCTGCGTACCTCCTTCGGGGATAAAAGGCGTGATGTTATATGTCCACTTAGCGCTCATTGCTCCGTTCTAATAACCACACAACCAATGAGGCAGTTGGTTTCATTTCTACCTGACTGTCGGATACCCATAGACCGACCAAAGGGGGAACACCTACCTAATATGAGTCGAAAATAATAATGGTTCCCGACTGTGAACTTTATTTGTATCAGAATCAGAATATTTATTTGTATAACATAGGTATATACATAATGGTGTTACAAAAAATAAATAAATATTGTTCGCTATGTTTTGCCGTGAGGCGTACAATATTAAATGGCTTATACAAGGTGTTGTTTTAAAGCCGCGTCATTTTCTAGGAGGTAACTCGGCTATCGATTCTTAGTCCGAATCAATAAAAAAAATTGTAGCTAAATATTTTTCATTTTTCTCTAAATTACGGCAATCCGTGAGTGCGAACAACACGCCGCCGCGCCGTCTTGTAACTAGCTTTATAACGCGGCTTAACTCGTCGAGTACCGGTTTTGTAGACACAATTATAGAACAATAGGTTGCGGTCACCGGTGACCGCTTGGTGTTTGACAGTTTAACACACACAAACTCGAAACACGTAATTGATATTATTGCTAATTCCATAAAACTCCAATAAGAAACATTGCTGTCGCTTATTCTGAAATACTGACGAACTTAAACGATTTATTATAGCCGTATTTTAACTATTGGCCCGAAACTTTCTCTTACATTGAACCTTTATGACTTCTGTGGCATGCACCCCAGAAATGACACGGTTTCAAAACTACACCTTGTATAAGTACAAAGTAAAAAAAAAAATAACTGAAATGAATACCAACAGAAAAATGATGAAATAAATAAAAGAAAGATTACAAAAATAAAGAAACAAATTTAAAACACATAGACCCATCAAAAGAGAAACAAAACTATATATTATTATTATCATTTACAACGTACTATATGTAATGTATGTTACGCTACGGTGCAATAGACGGCCCAACGGTGTAAATGAGGAACTTTTGTGCATCGCGACAACTTTCCGTACACGAGGCGCGAACTCAGCATAAATTGTCGATCTAATTTCAACCCGTGTAAAGAGCGTCATTCTTAGTACAACATCGACCAATTATCACCAACTATTGTAATTTTAATTAAACTCGTCGAGTACCGTCATTATAGACACAATTATAGAACAATAGGTTGCGGTCACTGGTGACCGCTT